ACACCCACATGACAGTTACATGTTCTGTGGCTCAGAGCACAGCAAGGTGGGAAGGAGGATCACGCCTCCTCCCTCAAAAACACTTCTACAACTGCACACACCACTGTTGCCCACAGCTTGCTGGCCAGAACTTACTCACAATGCCACGCTAAACTTCAAGACATGGTAACATGACATGCCCTGAACCCAGGCAGCCATGTGCCTAGATGACTACCAGAGCTTCTGTAAACATATACCGAGATCAACTGGCGCTGGCCTGCTTTACCTCCGCTTTCACTGCTGCCTGCTTACCCTCATAGCTCCCCGGAGACACGGCCAAGCCCAGCACACAGGACAGGCCCAGGGGGACTTCTGGCACCCTGCAGCTAACTCGCTTACCACACACCAGCTACAGTTGCAGAGAGCTACCGACTCAAAACCAGCCCTCCTGCCTAGTACCACTGTGATCCCCATTTTGTGGAGTACACACCAAGCTCAGAAAGTCACCCAGCTACTAACTGAAGACGTCAGGTTCTCACCCAGACTGGCTGCAAAGCACCTGCTCTTAACCCTAAGCACTCAGCCAACGCCTGGACAATGGAACCGCACCACAAGACTCAGGGCCAGAGACGCCCTGTGGACCCCCACCCTGTAGGCCAGCAGCACTCTCGGTGGGCCCCAGAGAGTCCTTCTCACTCTTGGGACATGTGGTGTAACAGGTCCAGTAACCACATCTCCCTCAGAGGGAAGGGCAGAGACAAGTGCCCTAAGACAGCACCCCGCCACCTGCCGATGACCAAGACCCAAGCACCGACTACTTCTAGACCTTTATTTCTCTGTGAAAAGGGAAAAAAGGGAATAAAATAAAAACGGCACTGTTGACACAAAAAAACCACTGAGGGGAGGAAGGGGAAAAGGGAGGTGGAGAAGTAGATGGGGGAGGGAGTCCCCATTACAGCAGCAGGAGCCAGTGACCCGGGACGCTCGCTTCTCTCCCCCGGTGTGGCGGGAGTAGCCCCTTCCTCCCAGGGTTGCTGCCCTATCCTACCTTGTGCTCCCCCAGCCCCTTGGGAGATGAACAGTGAGAAGTCTTCCCAGGCTGGGGAGAGGAGGAACCGTGCTGGGGAAGGGGCCTGGGGCAGACCATGCACAGGGAATGACAGCCAAGGCCCCCTACAGTCTCCCCAAGGGAGGGACTTGAGGGGGTTGCAGAGTGGACACCAGAGACCGGCGTTGGCTCCTCTTCCAGCATCAGGCGAGAGACAGAACTGGGGAAACAGGAACAGGCAGGACTCAGAACCGTGGCTCCCCCTCCGCCCACACCACTGCTGCGGCACCTCCCGCTTCCCCGGAGCTGCTGCCCGCAGGCTTCAGGCCTGTTCCTGTGGATCACCTCCTTTGGGGCCTTACCAGTCAGGGCCTCCTGGGCAAAGTACTTGACGTCCACATCCTGGTCCTGGGTCAGTTTCTCTAGGATGGGCTTGACTTCACTCTGCAAGGTGCTGGGAGGAGAAAGGAAAGACAAAGAGGGAGTACGTCAGGGGCAACAGCAGAGGCCAAGGAGGCGCAAACACACACTGACACTGCACACACAAGAGTCCAGCAGACAGACACACACTCCAACCAGAAGTCTCGGAGGCCAACTGCACAATTACTTTGAAGGTAGGAAGTGTGACAAACAGGGACAGACGTCTCTGGGGCCCACAACAGGGAGGTCAGGGCAGCCTGGTAACCGAACGACAGAACCCATGTTTCTTTTTTTCTTTTTCTTTTTGACAGGCAGAGTTAGTGAGAGAGACAGAGAGAAAGATCTTCCTTTTTCCGTTGGTTCACCCCCAAAATGGCCACTATGGCCAGCATGCTGGGCCAATCCGAAGCCAGGAGCTAGGAGCTTCCTCCTGGTCTCCCATGCAGGTGCAGGGCCCAAGGACCTGGGCCATCCTCCACTGCCTTCATAGGCCACAGCAGAGAGCTGGACTGGAAGAGGAGCAACCAGGACAGAACCGATGCCCCGTCCAGGACTAGAACCTGGGATGCCGGTGCCGCAGGTGGAGGATTAGCCTAGTGAGCCGCGGCGCCAGCCAGAACCCATGTTTCTGAGGCTGAGCAAGTGGACGTCCTTTACTTCACACATTTTTACTGAAGCCTACACTGAACACAGATAAACCATTCAATTCTCGCCAATGGGAAGCTTGAACCAGGAGTAAGACACGGGGTCCTAGGGAGCAGCGGAGGGCAAGTTCACGGACACGCAGGGCTTGGAGGGCAAATCCATGGATGTGCAGGAGCCCCGAGGCATCTATTCCCATGTGATCCCTTTCAGCTGAGATGGCTCCTCCGCCCTCCACAACCACTATTCTTGCTTCGATCCTCCAGATCTGCTCAGTCTATTTCTCAACTTGACATAATGGTGTGTCCTCAGGTGTGGCTTTTCACTCAGCATTGTGTGAGAGGCCTGTGGTTTACAACAGTAGATACTATATGCTATACTGTTTTCTACTGTACGAATAAATCATAATTTATCCATGACTGCTGACAGACATTTGGGTTGTGCCAGGGTTTGGATGTGATTAAAATGCATCCACCCCAAAGGTTCATATGATTAAAGGCCTGGTCCCCACAGTGGCCCTCCTGGGAGGTGATGGGATCTTTGGGATGTGGGGCTTGGTTGGAGAGCTTTAGTTCCCTGGCAGCATGAGGTATCTTTGGTAGTTTCTGCTACAGTACTTAAAGGAGCAAGTCTGGACCCTTTCCCTCTGCTCCTGGTGTGAAATGTAATCAACTGCCTGCTTGCTCCCACTGGTGCTTCCATGCCACGAGGTGACGAAGCTACAGCACAGCCTCTATACAAAGCCTGCATCATGCCATCTGGACTTCTGGCCTCCAAAACTGTTAGCTAAATCAATCTCTTCGTGAGTACTTCCTACCTGGTCTGTCTCAGGTACACTGTTACAGAGATGAAAAGCTAACACAGGTTGTTTCCATCTTGACCAAAGCTACTGTGACCTTTTTTTTTTTTTTTTTTGGACAGAAATGCGCACTCATTTCTCTCAAATGCAAACCGAGAACTGGAGGGACTGGCTCAAAAGGTGTCCATGAACTAGCTTCACTAAATCCTCATCAGCAGAGTGCTCAGAGCATCCACAGCCCCGCCCGCTGTGGTGAGAGTTCCAGCTGTTCTACGTCCTCACCAAAACCCACCTCAAGCCTCAGGGCAGCCAGTCTGGCCAGTGTGCAATGCCGGCTCCCTCACTGGCCTCAACATGCCCCTCCCTGAAGGTGCGTGATGCTGAGTGGCTTGCTGGAGGCTACCTGCTATTTGGAGATGCTCTGCTTTGCCCATCTCTTTCTAGGGTTTCTTGTTTTACCTATCTGTAAGCAAGTATTTTGGATGAGTCCTTTATCCAAAATTATACATTGTAAATACCTCCTCCCAGCCAGGGATTTGTCTTCTGATGAACAGTTCTTCATTTTACTGAAGGTCAACTTATTGATCTTTTCCTCTGGCTTGCTTTTTAGAAAATCTGTGCCAACCCTAAGTTATAAAGATATTCTCCTACATTTTCTTTAAGAAATTTTACTTTATCTTTCTGTCATTTCAACTTATTTAATCCCCAAAGCAAGAGTTCTCTTTTTCCTCCATGGCTTCCCAAGTGATTCAGCCATTTTTGGAACATATGGACATCTTACCACTGAATGCCAGTGGTGCCTACTGTACTCATGGGGACTTCAAAAAGTCTGTGGAAAATATGTATGGATTTCAAAATTTTCACATCAAAATAGACATCTTTTAATTCTATTTTTCACAAGCTTTCGGAAGTACTCTTGTAAATATATATAAACATACTCACATATACATATGTTATATATACATATTTATATACATGTTTCTTAGTTTCATTTTCTAATGATTCGTTGCTAATGTTCAGACAACACCATCACCTCCCCACTTCCATTCCACTCTTGGAGGTTGGCCACATGGATTCCCATTCTGCAGTTAAGAAAACAATCTTAGACTAGGGAAGAGACAGGCAAGGTCACAGAGCAAGCAGAGTAGAGCCAGCCCTCACGCCCTGCGCTCTATCTTCAAAGGTCAAAGATCAAGATGCTCAGAACAGCCCTTCCCTTCCCTTGCCATGTATTAGGGACTGTGCAGGCCCCACCTGTTGTCCAGGATGGGCCCTATCTTCTGTAGGGACTTGGCCACGTTGAAGCGGACATTGGCAACTGGGTCCCCAGCCATACGCAGAACAGTGGGCAGCATGTGCTTGGTGGTGATGTCCTGTCCACAGACCTCAGACAGCACCTGGGGGCCAGTGAGAGGCAGAAGAGTGATCATGCACGGTTCCCGGTAACTCCTAAGTCTCCCTTCCTGTGGCTAAGGGGGATTCACCCACCCCAGGGACAGCTCACCCTCCTCAAGACTCCAACTCCTGTACAACCATGCCCTCCACTCTGGGATGTCCTGATCTGGCTTCCAATATTCCTTTATCCTCTGGGAATGCTCCTTAAGCCCTAACCTATGGGATCTCTCCTTAGTACAGAAGTCTGTAAATTGTGGCAAGGGAAGAAATTACTGGAACACATAATCATAGGCATTCTTAAATACCTTCCTTTCAATCTAGCTATATGTATGGTATGTGTATTAGCCTAGTAGTACAAGAGATAACCACAACAACACAGCACACAGATGGGAGTATCTTCTCTATATGACTGTCCTAAGTCTGTCCTATGTATAACCAGATTAATCTTCACAACCTGAGAAGTCAGGTACTGTGATTATGCAAATGAATTCTTCCCACATGAGAAAACTGAAACATTGTTTTTAGGTAATTTTCCTAAAGTCTATAGCTAATACATGGCAGAACCAGAATTCAAAACAAGGTCTTATTCTACAGCATATACATTTAGCCACTGTTATAATATATATATGTATATTATTTTTGAGGAAAGGAGGGGGAAAAACTTTGGAGGTAAGTGCGAAGACAGATCAAGTTTTCCTCCCTTGTCCCACCACATAAGTCCCCACCCTCAGAGGCCCTATGTTCCTGTCTCTGGGAGCCCGAGCCCCAGCCTGAAGTTCACTCAGTGACTCATCTACAGCACCCCAGGTCTCCCCCTCTCCATTCCCAGGTCAAGTTTCCCTTGAGGATCACCCAGCATGCTCCTCTCCCGGCACCCTAGCCCTCCAGGGATCCCAGGTCTCCCCCTCTCCATTCCCAGGTCAAGTTTCCCTTGAGGACCACCCAGCACAATCCTCCCCCAGCACCCTAGCCCTCCAGGGACCCAGGTCTCCCCTTCTCCATTCCCAGGTCAAGTCTCCCTTGAGGACCACCCAGCACACTCCTCTCCCGGCACCCTAGCCCTCCAGGGACCCCAGGTCTCCCCCTCTCCATTCCCAGGTCAAGTCTCCCTTGAGGACCACCCAGCACAATCCTCTCCCGGCACCCTAGCCCTCCAGGGATCCCAGGTCTCCCCCTCTCCATTCCCAGGTCAAGTCTCCCTTGAGGATCACCCAGCATGCTCCTCTCCCGGCACCCTAGCCCTCCAGGGACCCCAGGTCTCCCCATCTCCATTCCCAGGTCAAGTCTCCCTTGAGGACCACCCAGCACACTCCTCTCCCGGCACCCTAGCCCTCCAGGGACCCCAGGTCTCCCCCTCTCCATTCCCAGGTCAGGTGTCTCCCTTGAGAACCACCCAGCACAGTCCTCTCCCGGCACCCTAGCCCTCCAGGGACCGTCTGCACAGCAGGGCTCACATTGATGCAGAAGAGTGTAGTCATGCGGTGCAGGTAGTTGGGGTCTCCAGACATGGCCAAGACCTTGGGGATGATAGTGGCATGGGCCCACTCCTTGCCAAACTTCTCCACCAGCTTCTTCAGGTTGCTGGTGGCTGCCTCACGGATGGCATAGACTATAGAAGGTGAGAAAGGCAGAGTCTGGAGTGAGTGACTGACACAGACGGGAAGCAACGGGCACAATACTTCTCACTGGGCAGTCCCCAGGTGCCTGGGCGTAAGTGGGCCAACAAACTCAGCCAAAAAGAAAAGAGGGGCTCACTATGTGCTGTATCTAACACGTATCTTCTTTTCAGTCTCTCCACTACTCCACGAAGAAGGTTCTAGCATCAGCCTCATTCTACAGATGAGCAAACTGAGGCTCCAACAAATGATTTGCCCAAGCAACCTATTCAGTTCTTCAGTGTCTGACACAGATCAACATGAACCTTCTATCACTCTGAATAACAATTCTCACAAGGAACAGCAGTCTGAAAAGGTGGGGTAAGAAGTCCCACATTTCACAGCATGAGTATGGGGCTAAAAGGTGGCGAGCGACTTGCTTAAGCTTTGCCAGCGAGGAGGGTGAGCTTCTCAACCAAGTCTGCCTGCCTGGTGGCCCTGTGGCTCGCCACTCTACCTGCAGCCCCCCAGGTGACCTAGTACATCCCCTCCCTACTCTGTACTTCTCTACTGTTTTAATAAGCAAGAAAGCAGGGCCGCAGGAGCGCCCCTTGGCACGGGGCAGGGACTCCGGATGCCCCAAATACCTCATCCAAGGGGTCCACCCTCTAGGAGCTCCTATCTCCACTTTGCTGTCTTCCAGGAGGTACTCACCGTGATCCACGAGCCAGGCCATGCACAGAGAGTTGAGTTTCTCATCAAAGAACTCCACTCCCTGCAGAAGAACAGGAGGTTAGGGCTCAAGGGAGAGTTGCCAGTGATACTCCAAACAAACTATACCTGCCTCAGAAAGACCAATTGCCCCTCAAATCCACCTGAGGCGTCCCTTTCCGTCTCTTACTGAATCCTATTACTCATCTTTTAAGAACCTATATCCTGGATCTCTTCTTTCAACTCCTGGGCGGCTGTCATGGACTGCCCTGGCTGTATGGACACACGGCACGGAGCCCTCCCCTGGGCAGCGCCACGTGGGCCCAGGCCTGCGTACTCACCAGCTGCCCAGCTAGCAGGGGCATGTACTCAATGATGGCCAGCCGCACCCGCCACTTGGCATCCTCAGCCAGCTCCACGATGGCAGGCAGCAGGGACTGGGACAGCTGCCGGATGCCGATCACCTCGTTCACGCAGTCCAGGTTGGAGATGATGTTCAGTCGCACTTCAGGGCACTAGGACAGGAGGGTTCTGTGTGAGTGACTGCCACAGGGTATGTGTCAAAGGCTACAACTGGACAATCTCATCAACGTGTTCCATCAGAGGTGAAGACGGTCCGTAGGGACAGGCGTGTGACCTGGTGATTAAAAGCCCCACATCCTGGATCAAAGTGCCCGAGCCTGATGCTCACCTTTGGTTCCTGACTCCAACTTCCTGCTAAAGCGGACCCTGCAAGGCTGGGGTGATAGCTTAACTAACTGGGTTCCTGCCACCCATCTGGGAGATCTGTACTGAATTCCTGACTCTGGTCAGGCCTGATACTGGCTACTGCGAGCACTGGGGAGTGAGCCAGTGGATATGACAGCTCTCTCGCAAATAAAAAATAAAAACAGGGAAGTCAAATAAGCTAGTCGGCAGCCTTCCTCCTCCACCTAGAATGCTACGGCAGCCTTACTTCAACCTCTTCTTTTTTATTTTATTTTTTCATTTTATTTATTTACTTATTATTTTTTTTTATTTTTTGACAGGCAGAGTGGACAGAGAGAGAGAGACAGAGAGAAACGTCTTCCTTTGCCATTGGTTCACCCTCCAATGGCCGCCGCGGCCGGTGCGCTGCTGCTGGCGCACCACGCTGATCCGATGGCAGGAGCCAGGTGCTTCTCCTCGTCTCCCATGGCGTGCAGGGCCCAAGCACTTGGGCCATCCTCCACTGCACTCCCGGGCCACAGCAGAGAGCTGGCCTGGAAGAGGGGCAACTGGGACAGAATCCGGCGCCCCGACCGGGACTAGAACCTGGTGTGCCGGCGCCACAAGGCAGAGGATTAGCCCAGTAAGCTGCGGCGCTGGCCTCAACCTCTTCTTAGTCTCAGTGGTCCTTTCTAACACTGATCCGTTCTAGCCCCTCTTCTTGCCTAAATTCAAGCCCAAACTCCCCAGTCACCACCTAGCACCCTCTCATGCTCTGTAGTCCAGGCCAACCGAACAGCTAGGTGTGGTCATGCGACCAACTCTGGCCCATGGGATATGTGGGGTATAAGCTGCCGTGATGGGCCTTGTTCTCAAGAGGAGTGGCCGGCCACTGTGTGCTGCCTTTGCCTTTCCTGGGGCCTGGGGGACAGTAAAACACTAGGGCAGTCACCGCAGACACAGGGACTTGAGGTTGCCAGGGTTAATCCACTAGTGTAGGGCCACCTGGACTGCTGTGAAGAGCAATCTTCGGTTTTATTTAGGACACTGAATCCCGAGACCCCGAGTACGGCACTGTGGTCCTCACAGCACCTACAGCACCTTCATGGAACCCTGCAACCATCCATCGGCACGCTCCACTGCTAGTCTCTGAGGATTCTTTTCTTCAGATTTTTATTCTTTTTTAAAATACATAGTAAGAATATTTCATTCTTTTTCTCATATTCCTAATGCCCAAGATAAGGAGCAGCACAGAGCTGAGGACACAAAATAATGCTGACAAGTGAGTGACCTCTGTGTACACGGTTGTACACTCATCAGCTGAGCAAAGCTCTGGGGGTCTGTTGCGATTCTAGGAGAATCCCAGCTGATGTGAGCAAGCAGCTGGCCCTCCCGTCCCTTCTGCAAACCCGGAGCCGAGGTCCCGCCTGCACCCTTACCTCATCCTTCAGCTGGGCCAGGAAGAGGGGCAGGAGGTGCTCGATGGTGTTGTCCTTGCCCAGGATGGGCGAGAGGCCCATGATGACTGAGGCCAGCGCTGACTTGACGTGCTGGTTGGCGTCTGACACCAGCTCCTGCGAGGAAGAAGGGGTCAGGGCGATCTCTGAAGCACCACACGCCAAACGCACATCAACTTGTAGGAAGCCTCAGACAACAGCTTGCTCTTGCCCTGTCACTCAGAGCAGGGTGAGCTGACTCTGGGGGACATTCAGTTCCTCAAATGTCCCACTGACTCAGAGTTCGATGGTTCCTGCTGCTAGCAGCCCTCACCCCAATCCGACAGTTCTATGGGTAAGGGGACTCCGAGACCTCCAAGTCAACCCCAAGCCTCAGATTTTGCCTGCAATCAAGACCTCAGTGGCTTCAAACCAAGGACTGCCTGGTCCCAAAGGCTGGAACCCAGTTTGCTTCTGGATGTCCCCAAGCCTCCCGACACCACCCCCTCTTCTTGGTAGGCTCAGACCTGCTCCATTCGTCCCCAACTCCCCGTTACCTTGATGCAGGGCAAAATCTGGGTCATGATCACATTCTCCCGACAGTCGGTGGAGAGATTTTCACAGAATTCTGGGTGGGGAGAAGGAAGGGGGAGGGTGGGATGAGACCCAATGGCCTAGTCCCACGTGCAGTCCCTCAGATACCCACCCGACTTGCTGTGTTCTGGTCGCCAGCACCAACCTTTGACCTTGTGGGAGGCTGCGGCCCTCACCTCGGCCTCACAGTCCTTCATCAAGTTCTGGAAGGCAGGGACCAGGTCTGTCTTGGTGATCTCAGGCCCCACTGCTTTCTGGAGCTGCACAGGAGAAGGGAGATGGGGAGTGTGAGAGGTCAAGTCAGTTAAAGGCATGGGGGTCAGATAGCAGGGGAGGGGCCCTGGGGTCACCCTGAGAAGTGCAGACAGGTGGAGCAGAGAGCAGGGGAGGGGCCCTGGGTCACCCCTGAGAAGTGTGGACAGGTGGAGCAGAGAGCAGGGGAGGGGCCCTGGGTCACCCCTGAGAAGTGTGGACAGGTGGAGCAGAGAGCAGGGGAGGGGCCCTGGGTCACCCCTGAGAAGTGTAGACAGGTGGATCAGAGAGCAGGGGAGGGGCCCTGGGTCACCCCTGAGAAGTGTGGACAGGTGGATCAGAGAGCAGGGGAGGGGCCCTGGGTCACCCCTGAGAAGTGTGGACAGGTGGATCAGAGAGCAGGGGAGGGGCCCTGGGTCACCCCTGAGAAGTGTAGACAGGTGGATCAGAGAGCAGGGGAGGGGCCCTGGGTCACCCCTGAGAAGTGTAGACAGGTGGATCAGAGAGCAGGGGAGGGGCCCTGGGTCACCCCTGAGAAGTGTAGACAGATGGAGCAGAGAGCAGGGGAGGGGCCCTGGGGTCATCCCTGGGAGCTAATGCAGTGCTATGGTGTGACCTCAGGCAACGGTCTGCGTCTCAGCTTCCTCGGAAGCAAAATGAGAGCTGCGCCTTCCTCAGGGTAGTTTTCCTTACAAATAACAACAGATCTCATTGTTCAAGCTATTGTGGGCTGGGTTTTCTGTTAGTGGATTAAAAAAAAAAAGTTCTAATGATACTTTGGATTTTTTTTTTTTTAAAGACTTATTTGAGAAGAAGAGTAACAGACACACACAGAGAGGGAGAAAGAGATCTTTCATCTGTTGGCTCATCCAGATGTCCCCAAGAGCTGGGGTTTGGACAGGACAAAGCCAGGAACTCCATCCAAGTCTCCACATGGGTGGCAGGGACCCAAGTCCTTGGGCTATCATCTGCTACCTGCCAGGTAGCGGGAAGCTAGATCAGAAGCACAGAGTAGCCAGGAGTTGAACTAGGTCCTCTGTTATGGAAGTAGGCATCCCAAGCAGTGGCTTAACCTGCTGAGCCACAATTCCTACTCCCTTACTTTTTGATTTATATTTGTTTCTATTTTTTTAAGATCAGTTAACAGAAGCACAAGTTAAGTTGAATAACTCTAATCCCAAAATCCAGAATGTTTCAAAATTCAAAGCTTTTTGAGCACAATGTGATATAAGTGG